AGCCTGTGACAGCTCCATGAGGGAGAGTTCTAATTTCAGAAATGATGACACAAACTGCTTAAAACAATTATTACTATATGATGCCCATCCCTGCTCTTCAGCAGTTTATAAAAACTTTAATTTATACTTCGAAGTGGATCAGAATTTTGGCTGCTCTGCTTTGTAGCTCCCTGTCCATATGCACATACCAGAAGTGTTGAAAGTGATATGGGAGAATGCAGACAGAAGGAGGAATCACAAACATCACCAACACGTACACTTCTATTTACAGAAGCTCTGCTTGATGCAAGCCCCTTGAATGAACAGAATGGCACTTTTGTATCCCACCCATTATATAATAGATGACACTTACACATTCTTAAATTAGATGCCATGCACTAAGCCACTATTCTTCTAAAAAGCAATATAAAATCTCAATACTGACAGAAGTACACCTTTCATGCTGTCAACACATTGTGAGATTGCTGATACATGATACATTAATGCAGGCAAAATTGTTGAATAAAAGTAAAGCATATAATTATCAAAATCACAACCCAGTTCATTATGACTATTCATCAAAAGACTCTCTTTTCCAAGGGTAAGAGTTTTAAAAAACTTAATTTCATTAATAACAACTTTGAGTTAAGTCTTTGTTTGCAATGTATACATACCTCAGAATCAGATACAACATCCACATCATTTCCAATTGAGTCAATAAAATCGTACGCCATGCCAAAGCTATTTTTAAAAATAAAAAATATAAAGTGTAACATTAAAAGTAACTAGAATTACATTCTATTGAAGCAGAATTGTATTAGTTAAAGTACTGTATAAATAAATAAATATATTTATAGGTATATGTCAAATCATCATTACAAATCTATTACATAGCAAGATTTCTCTCTCTCTTAGTGTTGGATCCAGATATCCTTGAGTGGAACTCAACTCATGAAAGGGTAAAATGATATTTTTGCCAAAATCACTTGGGTCAGAGGACCTGAGGACTTTCTGGAACAATGTGTGATGCCACAGGAAGCAGTAAAAATAGCTTCTCCATAATTCTGTAAGCAAAAGCATCTGCTGTATTCACAGACTCTTTCGCAAATGAAAAGAAAAGCTCCCCTTGCCAAATAGGAAATAGGATACACAAATAATGCCTAACTAGCTTCATTTTTTTTTAAAAAAAGAAAATTAAAATGTTTGATATTTTTGTAACCTTTTGATTTTATGAAAGTATGTATGTTATCTTTTTTTAATAGTTAAGTACTCTGACTAACTTGTCACATTTCTTTAAGTAGTATTTCATTATTTGCTTTTAATCAAACTTGGGCAACTTTTCTATAGGTTGAGTGGGGATAAATAATATTTCCAATATTTACCTTGAAAATGGCTTGCCCTTCTTGCTATTACCAAGAATAGTTGCCCCTGCTGGTCCCAGTTTGGCACTTTCGCGTAACCAATTCGCTGGCGGAAGTTTCAGATCAGTCTTCTCCTGAAGGCGGGCAAATGCTGCTTGTGGTGGAGCAGATGAATACTTTACCACAGCACTGCTCTTCACTTCATTGCCTCCAAGAAACAGCACAGAACCCTAGTTTGCACAAACAATAAATAGTTTGGTTAGAGTAAGGAGATCAGAGTACAATTACAGGTATTATTACATCCTGCTTGTATTATATTTTTCCATTCAATAAAAAGTCCTGCACGCCCAAACTCTGCCTAGACAATCTGCCAACTATATTTATAATGGCTTGTTTTTTAAGTTTAGATCAGGGGTCAGCAAACTTTTTCAGCAGGGGCTGGTCCAATGTCCCTCAGACCTTGTGGGGGCGGCGGCCTATATTTGGGGGTGGGGAATGAACATATTCCTATGCCCCACAAATAACCCAGAGGTGCATTTTAAATAAAAGCACATTCTACTCATGTAAAAACATGCTGATTCCCGGACTGTCTGCGGGGCGGATTTAGAAGGTGATTGGGCCAGATCTTACCCCCAGGCCTTAGTTTGCCTACCCATGGTTTAGATGCAGCTTTGTATGAATGTATCATGTTTTCCTACAACTACATTTGAGAAATGGTGCACACCAAATTTTCTCATGATCTCCTTTCTTGTGTACTCTGCACCTAAAGAGGCAGTAATTTATAGTATGTGGGTGGAACAACAGTGACCCACTGCAGCCATTCAAAGTCTATGAGAAACCCACACGAATCACTCTCACTCCAAGTTTCAGAGAAAACTCATCCCCCGTAGGAATGCCTTTAACTCCCTTGTCTGGTGAGTGCTGGACTAAGGCAATGACACCCCAACACATAATAATTTAGTGTCTCCATTTCACAGCGCTTCCTTCTTTCGCAAAAAGATCCCCCACAAAATACAAAGTCGAAAGGTCCTCATCAAACCAGTAATGAAGAGAGTGGTTGTTATTTGTGCAGCCTCAGAAAGATTTCATGCATTCACCACTGTACAGTGGTGAAGAGATGTTACGTAGGTATTCCAATCGTATTGTTCAGCTAAGTGATGCGAGTCACAACCTTCAATAAAGAAGCTAACCCATGAGCCTAACTCCTTGGCAAGGCTGCCCTGCACCTCCAGCTGCTATGGGCCTGTATGGCACCAAACTTCCCTAAGGAAGTAAGACCTTTCAGGGGTGGGGAGAGGGCAAACATGGCAAAACCATCTAGGGCTCCCCAACATGAGGTGCCCCACATAGTGCATAGCTGTCAACTTTCAGATTTGAAAATAAGGGATCTGCAGCCTCACCTGTCCCGGGGACAGTCTACGGGATATCTAACAATCCGGGATAGCAACGGGAACCAGCGGGAAATGGCGCTCGGAATAAGGGAATTTCCCGCAAAAAAGGGAAGGTTGACAGCTATGACATAATGCTATGGCCACTGTGCCGTGTGTCTACTCACCACAATGCAAGATTACAATGAGCAAAGCAGGGCAACCACCAAGACGCACCTAAAGCCATTTCAGGAATGCCATTTAGTACACTCACAGGGCTACAGAATAAAAATAGCTCCGTCTTTAAAAGAAACAGTTTTGTTACACAATTGCTGTGTATTCTTTTGACCTTTCGGTATCGGTCCTTTCACAGCATCCCCCTTCCTACTCTTACCCACTTACCAGCTGCCAGCAGTGAACACAAAAACGGTACAAGTGCAACTATGACAGGAAAAAAGGAGGGGAACACGACAGGGGTGGCAGGGAGACACGACATTAGAAATTCGTCACTTCGCTTATTTGGAGGCACAGCTGAAAGTGAACTCTGACTTCAACTCTCTCTCTCTCCCAGGAGGGTCCCAACCTTGAACTCGAAGCGTGTGAGGAGAAACGGGCGCTCATTCACGCATTGCCCCCTCTCCTTTCCTTTAAGACGGCGACGTGGGGGGGGGGGGTCCGACACGCGGGTTCCACGTTAATTTGGCAACGTGGGTAAGTGACTATGGTGGGGAGACACCGAAAGCCCAGAGGCCAGGGAGGGTGCGCTGTGTGGGAGCGCGCGCGCGTAAAGGTCAACAGCCGCCTACGCGGAGTGAGGGTACCTGATTCGGCTCTTCTCGCTCCCCCTTCAGCGACGCCGGGCCAGGCGCGGGTGCCCCCGGGTCGCTTTTCCCCGCTAGGCCCGACTCGGCCCCTGCTCCCCGGGGGTCCCCCATTTGCTTCGCTCCTCCGGCAGCGGCGACCGCGGTGACAACCGGAAGTTCACTGGCTTCCCTGAGAGGAGATTCCGGCGACCTAGGAAGAAAACCGGAAAGAGCTCGACGCTACCACGCACACCTAGGCTCCGCCCCCTCCCTTCCGTCGCTGCGCTAACTTCGTTTCCTCGCTAGGCTACTCACTGACTAAACAACAGAGGGCAGGCTCGCATGAAAGACAGAAGAACTCTCGCGAGATCTCTTAGGGAGCGGTTCAACTCTCAGTCTGGTTCGTGGAGGCGGAGCCAAAAGCTCAATTGTAGTAGGCTCAAAATTGGAGCCTCGCCAATTGACAGTGGTTACTTCTTTGTGATTTTTTCAAGAACTCAAACCCAAGACACTCCTATGAATCCTGGGAAATGAAGATTTAGAGTGGAAACTGTAAAAGCCACTGTGGGCTGAAAAGCAGTGAGGTTGATTCCACCTGTGCCTTCTGTCCACAGAGCTTGTGTGTGTTCAAATTTTAAGTGGAAATAATTAATGCCCGCTCTCTATATCATTTCTCGTTAGGGGGTTCTTCTGTGAAATGGGGCGAATGGAAGAAGTGCCCCCTTGTGTTGAGACAGAGTGCATGGTGGATTCTCAACCACTCACCTCCAAACATGTAATATCCCAGGCCACTCCAAACAGTGGCTAGTTAGGAGTATCAGAAGGGTAGGCCATTGGTCTTCCCAGCTTTGTACTGTGCACGCCCTCTCCAGGGTTTACAGTCTCCGAGCGCTGCAAAGCAGGTGCTCTACCACAGGTCCTTCCCTTACAAATGAAGTGAGGGTCCAATCATTATGCTTCTGAGTAAAGGGCTGGGCTAGCTGCACTTCCCTGTTGTTTCAATGAGCTCTAAACATGGATATTTTGCATGCAAAGCAGGGTTGCATGCGTGAAAACTTTCACAGCAGTTGGGTCTACTCCCCAGTCCATCTGCCAACAAACTGCAATTCATATGCGTGCGGTTAGCCCTCGTGGTGCTTTGCATTCAGCTGTGTAAAGAGATGCTTAAAGATGTGGCTAATGCATTGAATGCGAGGTTCGCCCGCTCTCCTATTAAGATGAATGAAGGAGACCCTTCCCCCGGGCTTTCACCCACCCCTCCGCTCCTAAATCCACCCGCGTCGGTGTGGCAATAAATTATAATCTGCTGCCGCGTGTTTCAACTTCCCGTGTGCCTAGTCGAAGTCAATGCTGCCTCTTAAAAGCCGGGAAACTAATAGTGAGAAGAGGCGCTGGCCTTTCTTGAAATAATGAGGGTTTTCTCCGCCTTTTTCATTCATTGCTGGGCGAGCTACGGAGGGCGCTTCTCCACCCAGCCGCGTGTAGGGTCGGTGGGTGATGGAGGGAGTCCCGGGCGCAGAAGACGTGAGCTAGACAGTAGTGACCATGGCAACGACAGCCGCCTCAGCCTCCTGGAGAGGCCGCTCTCCTTTCCGGCTCCCTTGCGGAGCTGAACCCCGCCAGACTACAGCAGGACTCGGGGCGCGCTGGGTCGTGGGGAGGCCATGCCCAAGGGGAGGCGGGCCAACCCCAGCACCGCGCGGGATGGCGCCTGGGTAAGGCGAAGCCCTTAGAGAAGGAGCCTCTGAGCAGCTCTGCCGGCGTTGACTGCCCCCTTTCTCTCACCGGTCGGCGGCGGGTGTTTGTGTGTGAAGGGAAGGGAGAGAAAGGCATAGCCCAACGTCTCAGGTTGCAGCCTGTTGCTTACTTCGTCTTAGTGCTAAATTCCACTACGAAACAAGGATGGAGTAGTGTAACTAAGTACTTAGACCTTCACCTATAACGGTCTTGGGGGGCGGGGTGTGTGTGGTGGTTTTATAAGGCCATGTGTATTACTTAAAGGTGTGGAATTTAAGCACACAAAATTTATTTTCAAACAAATACGCTAATCCACGGACGTCTACATTCCTGTTAAGTTAGAGCAAAATTCTTGTGCAGACCCTGATCTAAAAAACCCCCAATGATACTATGAACTTGTGCAGTTTTGCATTTTGAACTCGCTTTGTAGCACCAGCTTGGCTGACAGTTCTTTGAACAGCCCTGAGACTTCTGGGTATAGGGCAGTATATAAATTCAATTTGCACTGATGCTAAACACATTTTCTTGGAAACAAGCACCCTTTTGTTGCAGAAAGGGATACTATAATGTTAAAGTAATGAAATGAGAATATGTAACCATGTGTATGGCTACCTCTGTCTGGATGGGGCGCCACCTGCAGCTTTGAGAATCGGCTTTGCTGTGCCCTGATACCCACATGCTCATCCAGGGGTTGATGTGGGGCCTGTTTGCCATTATCTTCATCACTCTGCCATTCTCTGGATTGTCATTCAGAGCCTTCTGGGCTGTGTGGCCCTAGACTTTGGGGCCCCAAAGTCCAGCCTTAGCTTCACCAATATAAGGAGCCATTCCTTTAAATAAGGGACAGGTAATAACAATACAGGATAATTGGAAGTGTGGACAAATCCTGTAAGAAATCAAGTGTTGGCGGTTGGTTTGGATTTGTTGTCATAATGAAAGTCAAGGATTTCTTAGACTGGTTTCTACAGCTGTATTTTCTACAATAATCTTATCAAAGGTGCACCCTTTCCCCTAATAATAACAACAACACACACAAAGCAATCCCCCCCCTCCATTTGGGTGCGTTTCCATTATTTCTCTTCCCCCGCTAACACCCAGGTTTGCTTGTCTAAATATTTGTCTTCTCCAAAATTTTACTGCCCAGTTAGTATGCTGCTCTTTTTATTCTTCTCCGTTTGCCGAGAAAACACCTCACTACCTTTGTCACTGCTGGCAGTCATATAACGGGCAGAAGCATAACAGCATCTGAAGTGTGCTATAGTCCATGACAACTTCTGCCATAATAAATTCGTTAGTCTTTAAGGTGCCATAAGAGTCTTTGATTTTTGTTGTTGCTGCAAGTTATTAGCATGGCTACGCTTTGGGAAAATATTTTGAAGTTCTAAACTGAAGTGACAGTGTTCACAGCTCTCGTATCGATTCTTCAGTTCATCCTGAAGCGGTTAATAATATTCAGAGCAGGTTTATGACATCACTGTCTGGATCTCTCCTGAAACATGTGAACACTGCAATAACATTGAAAAACCCTGTTCCTACTTAAGGTCACTCTTCCACTAGAGTGGACCAGAATTGCAGCTCTGCCAATTGAATAGGCTTGCCATTTATTATGAAATTTATGTGCGTTCTACTGCTTTTATCCATATATTTAAATTACCTACCCAAGCTTTGAAAACAGGAATTATATTTTATTTTGCATTTGATATTTGGTTTGTTAAGTGAAAGTAGAGTGGGATTCTTGCTTCTTAATGGAGCCTCTAGGTGTTGCTGCAATACAAATAATACAAACTTGCTTCTACTTTTTATATTTTGCTATGTTTTTATGTTTTCTTTATATTTTTGTTTCTTTTTTATGTTTCACAGTTTGCACAGTCTGGAAAGCTGCAAATATTTCCTGAATCTCTTACAGCCTCTATGCAAAAACAGATACTAAATTTAGAAGCTACTAATCAAATCAACAATAGATTGCCACAGATGTACAAAGTTCGGGAGAAGGTCAGTAAACATTCTTGCATTCATGAGTGTCAATTTGATGTATGAATGTTTGTGACTACTTGCTAGACTGATTATTTATTAGGTAAAAAACTAAATTAGCTTCAGTTTTAAAAACTGTAAACATAACTTTCTACCCATATTATTAATCTTGTAATATTCTGGGCATATGTTGAATGTTATTAATTGTACACTGTAAAGTATTACAGAAGTTTTAACTTAAAATTTCACTTTTGACTGCACAAATGTAGTTTTGTCCAGTTTATATGCTATAGTATTAAACATGTTGATAGTAAAACGTAATAAAATGACTTTTATTTCATATAGGGCCGTCTTAATTTAAGTTTTTTATGTCCTTAAGACTTAAGGATGAGGAACCTGTGGCCCTCCAGATATTGCTGGACTAAATTTTTCAACATCCCTGACCTTTGGCCATCTGCTTGGGACTGATGGGAGTTGGGAGTCTAAGAACAGCTAGAGCAGGCATAGGCAAACTTGGCCCTCCAGATGTTTTGGGACTACAACTCCCATCATCCCTAGCCAACAGAACCAGTGGTCAAGGATGATGGGAGTTGTAGTCCCAAAACATCTGCCTGCGCTAGAGTGCCACAGGTCTTCCATCCCTGCTCTAAGTAGCTCTTATTCAGTACATTATATAAGCCCATCAGAATCTAGCTTCTAATGTATCATACTGGCATGACAGTCTGGATCTAAAGAAAAAATATATATTAATAAAATCATTTATTAGGTTATAAATTAAAACATCTTGCTTAAATATCTGAAAATTTTAGAGATGTACAGGCAATATTTTTTGTCATGGAAACTGGTCTGTATTTTCTCAGGCAGTAAGATAATGTGGCATGTGGATAAAAATAGCATCTGAACTGGGCAATCACTGATATGATTTTCATGACCATGATGTTATGTCCCCCTCAACTTTCCTGAGCAGTGGAAGTTCTAGGGCACAATGCTTATGTGGGTTCTGTTTCCTTTGAAAGGAGATCACTGGAAACTTATGGAGTTTTGTAATATTTGAGTTCATGTACAAATATAGAGGTTAAAAGTAGGTAGAGGCACAGATTAAACATGCAAATAGACAGTCAAATCCACTGCTCCATATAGATCTCCAGAGAGACGCAACCCTGATGCTGTTAGCAGAGCTAAAACCCGAGAGCTCCATAAGCTATCTATCTCAATGCATGTTCTCCTCTCAGGGTGTATAAGGTGCATTCAATGCTGGATGCAGGTGCCTTTTTGTGGTGCTGTACACCTGTCGTCCCCATGTCACCCTCATTTTGTTGTTGTTGTTAATGATTTCATAAAAACTAAATGGAGATAACACAATAACAGTCATACTGTACAAAAACCAATGAACCTCTTGACCTATGATTGCTTTCCAGTATATCCATTTTGTATGCTTTACATGGATATAAAAATTGTTCAGATTACTGAACAAATACTGTATCAAGAATTAGACAGTTAAAGGGTATCTTTCTTATTTAACTGCATATAATTAAAAACATTTGCAAATTATTTGAATAATTGCAGCAAATTGCAAGACACAGATGGCAGACAGGATAAACTATTTTTCAAATATTATTAATTTACTTTTTTTAAAAAAAGCAACCACCTATAATTGCAAACAAATGGACCAGGAAATAATGTCATTTGATGAAGGAAAAAGCACATAAATATGGGCTTCCTTAAATATGAGCTGCACAGATTGCCTTGCATTCTGAATGTGTGTATGCATGCATGTATACTATTTATTAGCTGATCTTCTGCTTAAACTCTCACAGTGCCTTACAGAATAAAACAATGAAAGCAATAGAATAACATGCAATAAAACATCTACAGATTAGAAGTTGAGGCAGAGAATAATAAAATACCAGTATAAACATATAACACAATCTTAGACACATCTACTCTGAAGTAAGTCCCATTTATTGCAATATATATTCAATTCAATAGAGCATTTCTTCCTGGAAAGTATTGCAGGCAAAGAGGCTTAAAAGTCCCCAGCAAGTCCTGGGTTTTCACCTGGGGCTTAAAAGAAAAAAAGACGCCTGTCTTCCGTCACTACCTACCATGTTGAGATGCAGAGAGAGAGAGAGAGAGAGAGAGAGAGAGAGAGAGAGATTGGTGTATTTAAGACAATTTGGATTATAGATACAGATGCCCACCTCTGAGAACATTAGGTATATCAAGATTTTGCAGAAGGGTTTGAATCTGAAGAAATTCAGAATTCAGTGAGATTGAGGGGAAAGCCAAGGAGTATGAGGCAGAGTCCCTTGATAGAGTGTACAGAGAGCTTTCCAATCCCATCACCAAAGCCTGAAAGAGCAAAGGGGCTTCTCTCCTCATGGGTCTGAAGACTCTGGAAGGCTGTTTGGGCACTACAGCTACAATGGCTACCATGTTTACAACTTCCCTCACAACCATTATATGCCCTAGCTAACTAGGCTGAGCCAAGAGGAGCTAGAGTAGGGTGTGCTCATGACTAGCAATCCCTCTGCTCAGGACCCAAAGCAGAACCTCAAATATCAGCGGGTTCATGTGGGAAAAGATGGTTCTTCAGTTATGTGACCAATTTCCCTCTGTCTGTTCATTCTTGTTGTAGATTGTATAATGTAGAGGAAGGGAAATAGATGGATTTCACAACTAACTTTCAGCAGTCCAAGTTTTTAAGCATAAGAATACATGGCTGTACCATTCTATTTTATTAAGCTGGCTAACTCTTTTCTGAATGCACAAGAAAATACATAAGAAATGAGTCTCATTATTTCTATATGTAATATTAATTTAGGAGGCATGCCTTCTGTGTTTTTCAAACGTATTTTAAGGATGGGGTTAAATATCACTGTTTCCTTCCCAGTAGAGTGATTTAGTGAAGCTATGAGGGTACATCCCAGAGGTTTTGGTTTTATTTCCTACAGTTCAAGCAGCTGCACACTTTGTAATCAACAGTGGTATCCTTCAAAAGGGAAAAATTAGCAACTTGAAGGGAATTTGTTCAACTGAAGTAAAACTTGAATGGAATATGCTTTTGCTGAACATCAAACCCAAGTAATGCAACCTTTCACAGGATAGTTCTCTTTGAGAATAAAAAACTGTTTTTTTGTTTTTTGTTTCCAACCTACTACATGTTAAGTTTAATTGGATTCTTTCTTAGTCTGGTGTTTGCTGAGCTCACGGTAATAGCAACCATGTTTTAGAAACCGGAATAGAGCAAAAGGCTAAAGATCTGTGTCTGAGGGTGGAGGGGGATTTATATTTCTAAACCATCTGTCATTTTGGCCACTGATTAAAAGAGGCTATTAAGCCATTGGTCTATTATGTTCTGATCTGGCTTTAATTAGTGTGACATCTATTTATTTCTGTTGTTTGTTTGTTTTTTCCACTGTTTAGGAATATTCTGAGAAGTATGTATGATCCTTTTATGATGAACTAAAATTGACATGTCAGAATGAGCAGATTGCCATTAGGTGGTATATGATGTCACAAAAACACAGTGTGAGAGACTTGACTTTACTTGAACAATCTTTGAATAACTGCTGGAGAAGGCTTTTCTCCAGTTTAAAAGAAACTGGAAGCTAACTGTGGGCAACAGCTGACTGTCTAATCTCTCCCTGTGAGGCACCACTCTAGCTGTGAGATTAATTAACTTGCTTAGAGGGAGCACTACAGCATTTCCTTAGTTGTATCACATTGTTCTTACTTTTGTTGCAGTCTTGCAAATGGTTTCAAGTATAGCTGAATTATTTAATCATTAAGACTGAGTGAATTCACTTACTACATACATAAACTGGGGTCCAAAGGTGGAACTAGTTCCATGTACCCAAGGGGCATTTATACTTGTATTTCCCAAAAAAACAAAATAAAACAGCCTGCATAGCAAGCAGCTTTTAAAACTGAGGGGACTTTCAAAAGCCGTTTGTGATATGACATGGGGATCTGTTCAAAGAAAAAGCAAAAGTCAAAAATTCCTCAGGGTGTACCCAAATCCTTGGGGATGCCTAAAGTAGCTCTTTGAATCCTGGTATTTCTCACAGTACATTTTAAATAAGTCCTTTAGTTATGTTTTAGAAGGCCTAGAAATGTTCGTGGATATAACTGCACTCGGTGGATTAAAAAAAAAAGGATCTCTGAAATTTTTGACATCTATCAGTCAGTTCTTCTTATCGATTACAGTGGTATTAGGTTAGATATCTAGGCTGGCAGAGCAGATCTTCTTATTTTTTTCAGTTTACCTAGATCCTTCTTTGAAAATTGTAAAACCAGACTCATGGTCTAAAATATGCTGAGAAGTGTTAGGTGGGGCCTGAAAGAAAGTTTTCTCAGTTAAATGTGTTATCTGATCTTTGCTTTCCAATGCATGTTAGAGAACATAAACTCTTTATTTCTGGAATTCTGTCAATCTGGCAGGCTGAGATAGGTGAAGCCGACAATATTCAGATAACTAAATTTTTCGTGTGCGCAATATTTGCAATTATAAGCAAACATTTTTGCAGTTGAAACAATCAAAATATAATGTTGGAATGCTATTGACTTCTTAGAAAATTTTAAGAATTGTTATTAGTAGACTGACCCTACAGCGAAGCCAACATGTTGCCTTTGCAGTTTTGTTGCCCTCCCAGCAGTAAAGTAAAAAGCAAAATAATATCTGAATAAACAAGAGATAACATGGCAGCACCAGAAGCCATTGCCACAGGGCCCCACAGAAATTGCCACAGCCCCCCCCCAAAATGCTACTATTGTGCACCAACCATAGCCACATTAGATGGGCACAGAAGGCACAAATCACTGCATGGTGATGGTCCACACACCTTCACATGTAAAAACAAAATCCCATACACGAATCATCCAGGAAGAGCTGACAATGCAATGCCCAGTTCAGCTTCCATAGGTCAAGATCAGTGTACCTCCAATGCCACAATCAAGTGAAACCTCATCAGATGCAGCACATACCAGAGGGGTCAGGGCCTCCTGTAGGAAACCCCAACACTTCACTGAAGGAAAACACTTGTTCAGGAAACCTGCAGAATCAGGGGACCTGATGCATCCCAATTAAATTTACCACCTGGCTCTGGACTCTTCACAGTCTTCTCTGGGATCTCAAGAACAGAAATGGGAATGAATAAAGGTGAAAGCTCAAGCTAAACAGTGCAGGAATTCATTGTTAAGATATGCTTAGAATCAAGACCTTGTTAGTACCCCAGTCTTACTACCAGTGTTAGAAACTATGAGCTAAATGGCACCTTAAACCTAGATTGTGGGCGCCACAACGGAATGTCTAGGTGCGCTTTTTCATAACAAGAATACAAAGCTGAAAGTGAATGAACTGCAGCCAAAAATCTTATGTTCATTCTTCACATGGTCTAGTCCTCATCTGAACACAGAAAAAAACATAGCCATGCTTCCTCCCCCCCTTAATATTCTTATGAAGGTCTCACAAAATGCTGCCTTTCTGTAAGGCCAGCTGAGAGGCAAAACCTATCAGCTTGCCTGACGCTGCAGTGATCTTGGAAGTCGAGCTGGCAGGAATTTCTTCTCCAATGCCCCCAGTGCCAGCAGTGGCAGCTGTAATCTGAAATCTTAGGTGCAGTACTACACCCAGAGCTCAGAAATTGCTCACGCTAATTCAATTCCCAGTCGCAAAATGCGCCTAGAATAATGGGAGTTTCGAATGCTGCTTACAACAAAAACCCTCAGTTGCTGCCTGTAAGCTGTTGTGGAACAACTGTAAGGGTTTGTTCCTTATCAATCATCTAGACAGGCTGCTGTTCAACACTTGGTTCTCTTATGTATTAATCTTTCCAGTACCACTGGAGAACTTCAGTAATCTAATTGTCAGTCATCTTTCTTGCTTGCTGCCTTGCTCCCATGCCTATGCTGAAAGTCCATGGATTGCAATGGATAGAAGAGCAATAATTGATTTTTCATGCTACAATATTTCCTGCAGACTACAGTTTGAATCCTGTAGCTTTCCAAACACTGATGGCACTAGCTTAATTTGCTACATCCCTTTTGCCAGGACCACAGAGGGAAGGAGAGAGTTCTAACCTAATCATAGCAGTCAGTTCTATAGAACAGGACCATAGAACATGGGGAGCACATAGGCAACAAGCCTCCTAGGAAAAACCAAGTCTCACACAGAATTATCAGTGATTCCACACAGGCATCAATGCACCAACTCTGTACCAATGTCTGTGTCATGGAAGTGTACATTTTGCAAGGGAGAGGACTACATACACATACTACAAGATACATATATACTACAACAGCAAGCTCACAGTCCAGTCAATCTCAGTGGGAAAGAAATGGAATGGGAATAAGTAGGTTTTGGAGATATATTGCAATGATATATTTTTTTAGAAGGCAAAACTTACTTTTGGGGGGTCCTGCTAGCAAGAAATAGCAAACAGCTAGAAACAGCAATTTTAAAAGTTATTTTGAAACATAAAAGTGCAAACTTTCATCTCATGATAAATTATGGGAGGGGCTGTGAGCTGGATAAATTGTCTCGTTTGTTCTTTTCATCCCCCAAATTAAGGATTTTGTAGCAGGGTGCTGCACTACTTGACTATTTGGTTCCCTCTAACTTTATAGTTCTGAATTAAGACTCTTAAAACTGTTTTGTTCTTTATTTGCATTTTGTTGAGTCTGCAGGAGGCAGTTGGCTTTCACTTCACTAGATCACAGAAAATCTTTAGAGACTAGCTTTCCTGGCTGTCGCTTAATATGAGATGCCAGAACTTGGAAACTAACTGTAATAAAATTTAACATGTGTACTTGTGCTTGCTATATTTGAGACTTAGCCATTTTCAATATATAGTCGGTAATTTGATATAATATATAGCATATAATATATAGCATCTTCTCAGTGGGTGGCACTGAGCTCATAAATCTCAAGTTGATTCAATTACGAGTTTCCTTTTGAAGTCCAGCTTTTATTAGCTGTAGACTCAGCACTAAAAGAAATCTTGGTATTTGTCTAAAAATTTGTGCCTCTATAAATAAAACTGATCTAATTCAAAAGTTTGGGTACTTATGTAAGTGTTTAGATGACTAGGAGAGATTAAATTCTCTTATAAATTTAGTGTATAATGTAATCAATCTGTATTGTTTTCTAACAGACTACCTATAAAGAAACACATAACATATAGGCATGTTTACATGAATGTAATCTTGGGTTCTGTTGAATATGAAAGCTACAGCAATACTGCACAGGCATAATAATTATTATATTTTTCTTGTTTCTATTTTTAGAAACCAGTAAACACATTTCCATTTTCAATCCATGATAATAGACATTGTTTATTGAATGTCGGAGAGTACTTGGATTCTGTAAGTATTGTGTTTTTTGCTTGGGGCAAGGGGTTCTTTCTTTTAAGAGTTGCTGTCTCTTTTCCAAGCGACCTGATTCATTCTCCCTTTTGTAGTATCCCACTTCCAAATGATAGTAGAATTGATGTAAAAAAGAGTGAAAGGCAGAACTGATGACAAACAGATAAAAATACATAGATAAGACATAGCAATGTAAACAAAACCATTAAAGCAACATAAAATCAATCAGAATAACCTCTGCTGCTCTTTACTAAAAAAATAATTTGTCTAATGCATCAAGATCCTACTTAATTAGAAGCTGGACTAAAAAGTTTTTAGCTGGTACCTACAACCAGTAGTAGCACCATCTAGCTTTCCAGATATAGGACATTCCATAGTTTGGTAGGTACAACTGGGAAGGCCTTTTCATTAGTTGTAGAGGTATGACCTTCACTCAAAGATGGTTTGACAAGTAGCCAGCCCCAGCAAATCTTAATGGCAGGTGCAATTTACAGGGAGATGAACCTAGGTCCTAAGTAATTTAGAGCTTTATTAAGTGGCTTCAGAACTTTGGCTCAGTATAAGACAGGCAGCCAATATAGGTTCTTCAGAATGGGTTTTATAAGAGTACAACTAAACAAGCGAGTCAATACTATTGTCACAGGATTCTGTACCAGCTACAGTTCACAAATCATTTTCACAGGCAGCTCCAGGTAGAGCACATTAAGTATTCTGGAAGTTACCAGGTCACTGTGGCTGAGCTATCTGTCCAGGAATGGCCTTAGAGAGTAGATCAGCCAGACACTAGCTTCCACTAACAAAGATGAGGCTAAGAACACCCACATATTGTGCACAAGTTCCATCAGAAGGAATGCAGCTCTGGCCATAACAGGCCATCTACCAAATTCCTGGCTTTAAGGACAACCTACCCACAAGACACCTGTCTTTCGGGGATTCAGCTTCAGTTTATTGGTCCCATCACTTCCTCCAGAGAGCAGTCTGATGCAATGCTAAAGTGTGATAAATTTTAATGGGTTTGCTTGTTTATTTATGTTTATTTCTCTGCTAAAGTTATATCTTGGCTCGTTGCAAGATTTAAGACAGATTGCTTGCCCTTAACATAGCTCTTAGAAGTGCACAAAAATTGTCCTTAATCAGAAGAATGGAAATAAATGCTTGCTGTCCAACCTAACCTTGATCAAAATGTCAGACTCAATGGTGTCAGTAAGGGCTACCTCACACATTGCTGTAGAAGCAGGTCAGCATTAAAATGTAGGGTGGAGTTCAATGCTAGGCTTACTTAGAGTAAACTCATCAAAATTAATGAGTATGACTAAGTTTGGTCTATTCATTTCAGTAGGTTTACTCTGCATAAAAGTTAGTTTAATTCCACCCACAGTGTATACTTGTGTCTACTCCACACTGAGTGAGGCAACTCTACATCTTCTTTCACTATGGAAAATTAAATTGGCCTTGGTTCCCTGATGTGTGATTTGGTGATGTACACAACTGTGCTTAAGTTTGTTGACGTGTATTCACTTCTCCTGTATATCAGATGAGAATGATATCTTTAGAAATTAATTGTTTATCTGCAGTTATCAAGATGCGCTCCCAAATATGCTAATAAAACATTCTGTGATGGTTCTGTAATTAGGGTATATTGTTAGCTACCTTAAACAGTGAGAAAAACCTGAAGTATATGTGTTTTCTTTCATCTCTTTTAGGGACTAGGACTAAGGAAATTTCAACGCGAGACATGCCAACACCATTCAGAAAGCTACCTTTTTTTGGCCCATGAACCCATTCCAAGCAGTACTGACAAGCATACCATTTATCAGACTTCATTTGTCGAGTATCCAAATACCAAGCGGTCCATTCTGGGGCGATTTCCCAAAAGCCATGCAGATAGGTCCTTTGCTTTAAATTCTTCAGCTGCAAACGATTATCTGTGGTTTTCAAAAGGCCATGCCAGTCCTAATATTTCAGCTCCTGTCAGGCCTGAGAGAAGCTCTCTCTCTGAGCCTCAGCAACTTTTACCTGCTGAACATTCAACAGAATAAATTTTCCATGTGAAGACGCTACTAAACCACATTCCAGTGTGGATTTACAATAGGCTTTTAAAGATTAGCAAACACCACCTTTATCATTCTACTTTGCCACCCCCTGGATCTGAAATTATTTTAAGAAGCTAAGTGGCATTAAAGCAACAGGAATTGGATGAGTGGTTGCATTTATACAGCTGGGTATTGTTGTTTTTTAAAAAAGGATCAGTGAATTTGGAAAAGGGAAACACATTTTATGTTTGCCTTGAATATCAAATAACTTTAGTTTTCGCTCTAAAACATCAAGATTTTTCACTGTGTCTCTGGAGGCTTGAGCTATCTCTACCTCCATCTGGCAATCGGTTTAACAACCTGTGTGAATACATGGGATGTTGCCCATGCCTCTGTCATGTCCCTGCCAGGATGAGATGTGTTGGTAAAGATAGCACCTGATCAATCATCTTTAAAGCTGTTTAGAGCTTTGAGGAAAGTGAGAGGCATATCAGTGTAACTCTTGCTATACTGCTTCCCCATTTGCTTACATGCGAAGTTGTAAAGGATACTTTGCGTAGTTGGGAGTTTTCAGATGTTTTAACTGAGGAGTCCTGCGAATGAAATGTATATTTTTCTCTATTCAGGATGACAGCTCATCCTAAGATTGGCCTGATGCCACTTATTTTGTGGCAATATTATTTATTCTGGAACACAAGAGCTCTCTCTACATGGATGCCATACTGCAAAACATCATGGCACTGTAACAGTTTGTAATATATGTACCACATCTCCATGGTGTCATTTATTTTTTGAAAATATTGGCCTGGCAGTTTCACATTAGCTGGTTCTGCAGCATAGCTGCCAACACCTACTGGGTGTTACTCACCCTCAAGGTTCCATAAATGATTTGTGGGTTGTATATTACTATATGAAAATCGTTGCTGTGCATGCAAGCATCCTGGTCACACTCAAAGGACAACAATTTTCTAATACATACAAGGTTAAGGATTTCACACCTTTAGCCAAAAACCCTACCATGGCATGCAACAGAAGCCATAAAATGTCAAAATAGTAAGCAGGTACAAGCATGATGATTCCATTATGTTGGCATCACATGCATATCTCTTTATAATCTAAATGCCAGTTGATACATTTTGCCCTTACTTTTTTTTGTAAAGGTGGATCACAATATACTGAAAACAGTACAACATTAGCTTCTTCCCAATCCATATAAAAATTCCCTCCATCAATACACAGTGGAAATGTCATGTCAAGATAAGTTATTGTGGAAGTTTTCCGAAATAATTTAGTACATTTCCTCAGTAGCTACTGAAATAATGATGATGATGATTTTATTTGTAAAGGGGCCCCCTATCGAGATGCTTGGGGTGCTGTTGCACAACATTTTGAAACAAAAAACAATTAATGACATCATTAAAACAGTGGCAAAGCCAAGAGCGCGGCATCATTAAAAGAAAGTGATTTCTCGTTTCAAGGCAGATAAAAGCAGCCTGTCTATTGCAGAATCAAAATTTCCACAGCATTAGCCAACAATTTCATCCCCAAGCAGATTCCAAAGTAAAGTGCACGCCAATCACATAATATGTGAAGTACCCCATGCTGTTTGGCACACTCAGGAGGGCAATCTTGGTCCTCCTACAGAAGGAAGAAATGCATTCTTGCTACATTTGTAATGTTTATCTGGGGTTTAGAGTTACAAGTGAATAAAGCAAAATTCATGTTTTGCAACAGCAAGAAAAGAGTCTAGCTTTGTTAACTCTATCTACTTCTCCATAATCTAGATTTCTTAAACATTTTCCAATTCTAATATATTTAAAGAGTAATTGTGGGTTCCTGTTTATCATATAAATGTATACATAATGGTAAACCCCTTTGTACATTTAGTAAACTGAGTTTTGGTCTTGTGGGATCCAGCAAGTTCAGCATGTTGAACTTACCAAGGAGTAGCAGGAGAACCACCTATATTAGCATGGTGGGAAATGAAACACCCATGTTAATTTCTAAAAGGAGAGCTTATTGAGTTGGCATTGCACCATCATTGCTGTTATAATTAATCATACTAATAATACTGAGTTGATATACAATGATCCCCAAGCATTTTTCTAAGGGAACTCACCAGTGGAATTAGGCTACTGCTCATGACTTACCTGTTGCCCCTCTTGACTCGAGATGTGGCATGCAGAGGTAACTATTTGAAATCAAACTCTATGTCCATCACTTTTTCAACCAACACAAAATATTTCTGCACCCTGATGATGAGGTTGCCCCATAATTTGTTTAACAATATGACCATTCCAATAATCTGAGTTTGTTTGCATATGGAAGCAGAGGGAATGATTTAGTCATAGTTCTGAAAAAGTGGTGTGGGAAATGGAGTTGGGTTCCAGTTTCACAGTCTTCAAGCTGAAATTGTTTAGAACTCGGTCTGTAAAGAAAAATGGCAGAAGAGACTTCTCTCTGTTTACTACATGGGCTAAGCAACCCTATGCACACATATTCGGGAGTAAATCCACAAACACAGTGGGACTTCTAAGTGTAGATATGCATTAGATTGTACTGTAATTCTAGGTTTATTTACCTTTGTTTTAATTTGAGCCAGGGCAACATGGGTTCTGTTCTCAGTGCTATAGCTCACCTCTAAAAAGGAAAATGGTTCTAAGCATGTGCGGAGCCCCTTTTCCTCATGTTGAGTCATAATAAACTCTCACATATCTGGAATTAGGGGAAAGGCTTGGAAGCCAAATGGTGTAACTTCTAGGCTAGTTTAAATTGGTTTTTTATTTTAAAAAATAAGAATCTTAAGCCACCAGAGTTTATTCTCTAGATTCTTGAATATCTCACGTATGTAATTTATGTTAAATATGTGTACCATGTCATCAGCACAAGGTCTGTATATAATGTGCTTGCAAAAAAGCTTTTTCTGATGAAAACGTCCAGCCTATTTTCTTAAAGTGCTTTACTATGGGAATAATGTGCTGATCTATTATAAAAACGCAATAACTTCTGAAGCAGTTTTATTTTGCCATTTCCTCCCCTGTAGATTTTTTGCAATATATTTCTAGAAATACTTTATGCACTCTAACACAAAACAATATCTACAGCAGTAATAATAAATTACATGCGGTGGGAATTCAAGCTTGTTCTCGTGTCCAAGGTGATATAGTGGAAATCATTCATAATGAAGAAGAAAGTAATTGTTATGCAGCATTTTTGTATTAAGCATAGCCCCCAAATTATCCTGAGTATACAGCACAATGTTCTTGGGGCTTTGATACAACTAAAGTCTAATAAAATGCATGTGTATATCCCCTTATTTGCATAACTGAAATGCCTATAAATTCAAACTTCTTCGATTTTAAAGGGATGCCAAATCTCAGTCCACTCTCTGAATATGTCCTAGACTCATAATTAATCAAAAAACACCCAAATCAATAAGCATGCAAAATCAATCCCCTTCTGATTCCAGTATGCAAATAAACCACACTGATGGATTTTTCCCAGAATCTAACATTGCTGTGTTCCTTTCCTCTCAGCAGTCACTATGCCTTTTAATGTTCATATTTTATGCACCACTGCACAAGCAGTCTAAATCTGAGCTCAACACAACTAGTTTAAAATTGTTTGGTATTTGCCACTCAGGGCAATCTTACACATGTTTACTCAGAAACAAACTACCTTGAGTTCAAAGGGACTTACTCCCATGTAAGTGTGTACTGTATTCTATTGTAACATTTTATGCACAACTATAAGTAATGAAACAAAGTCTCAGTAATGTGATTGAAAATGAACACTTCTGCCATTACGAGCCCGTTTTTATGGCCAGCAGGAGGCCAGCACTGTGCAATCGCCCATGAGGTAATGTGGCCACAATTCTTCTGTGCCATGTTGCTCTCCTTCCAAGACATAGTCAAAGTGGAGTGCAGTTCAAAAAACTAGGAATAACATCGATCATACCGCCCCCCCCTCCAAAAAAGGCCATCAGAAGAATGCAAGGTAAGCACCTAGATATGCTTCAGTCTCATGGCGCTCCCCTCCCCACCCGAAACTTGAGGAGGTCCCCAGAGTGGGTTATGATGCAGCATAAGAGGTTACAACTAGAATGGGAAATTAGCTACTCACAAAAAAAACAGACTATGCATGCATGGAAGTGCTTTTCATTTGTGCACAGGGCTTTATGGATCCCAGCCAATCAGTTTAACCTTATCCAAATTATTCCTATAACCTCTTTTGAAAGTATTACGGAATGAAAACTTTCTTCACATTCTCTCCCTCATATTACGCAGTGTTACTTGTTTTTAAATAAATGCAACCAGTGAAGTCATTTAGAAAAAAAACCAAGTTCTTTTATCCCGACACTGTTTCCAGCATTTGCATGTGAATATGAGCTACCCTGCTGTTTGATTAAACTAGAAGCTTTTTTTAAAGCCTATAAGAATCCAGATTCATGTGCAGTAGAGTCCTTTCCACTTGTATCGCAAAGGTTGTTGGAGGAAAAATGATAATATCCTTGGAAGTACATGACTAATGAGAATATATATAGCACTTCTGAGACAGCTCAAATGTATAATTATTGTGAGGATTTCACAGACACATAAATATAATGATCTTCGGGTAAGTAAATTGCTAGCTACCAATGAAATAAATATGGTCCCTTCAGAATTTGAAATCATTTGGTACTGTAGGTGGTGGGAAATGATTCACCTTAGCTGTTATCTCTGGAACAGTAATGTAGAAATATATCTGCCAGGGCTGGAGCATTTACATTGTTCTTCATATCCTGTGGAGTTTGTCAGAAGATCTCTGGTCCCTGCTGGTGTCTAACCTCTTATTTTGATAAGCCAGAACCCAGCATGAGTCAACAATGGGTTGGAGCAGCTAATATTGTTTACTGTGGTAGGCATCCTGCCCATAATAATTTTCCAAGAAATACTGATGTGTTCAAAGGTCAGGTTGATGTTGAGTGCTAAACATGATTTCATCTTTTTTAAGAGTAACATGGATATAGAAGTCTTGGGGTAAAGGTTAGATTGTTTTTGCCAGCACTGGTCAGGTCATAATAATCTGTGCACCCTAGATCAAGGAAATCTGATACTTTACACATTGAATAGGAACTGAAGTATTTTGGAATTTTCATCAGCATTTTCTTGGAACATGATTAGGCGTTGGAAAACATTTCTGCTCATATGCAGTGCTATACCCAGTAGGAAATACATGGTGTAGGGGGGCATTGGCTTCCATAATCATCACTGGCATTATAAAGTATAGAACTGGTAGAAAGTCCTGATCCAGTTGGCAAAGAAATATAGACAACCTACACCCCACACTTCCTGTAAACATTATTCTCATGACAGCATTACAATCCCTTCAAATTATAGAAAGGTAGAACCACCACTAGTCAATAAAAAACAAGATAAAACAAGTGGCACCAACAGGCAGCAGGGACAGACTAAAACAACCCAACTGCAGTTTATAAAAGCCTTAAAAAAATTAAGGGTAGGTGCTAAGTGAATTACCTGGGATACCAATTCACAAATGAGAAGCCACAACCTAAAAACCATCTCAACGGTTGACATCCACCTAGCCTCCAAAAGCAGGGGTTCCTAGGAAAGAGCCTTTGATGAAGGGCCTCTTAAGCTAACAGAGAGATAGGTGTGCGTGGGGAAAGGATAATGGTTACATTCAGGAAAGGGGATTGCTGGATCCCAAGGGATTAAAGGTAAAGGTAAAGGGACCCCTGACCGTTAGGTCCAGCTGCGAACGACTCTGGGGTTGTGGTGCTCATCTCGCTTTATTGGCCAAGGGAACCGGCATACAGTCACGTGGCCAGCATGACTAAGCCATTTCTGGCGAACCAGAGCCACGCACGGAAACACCGTTTACCTTCCCGTCGGAGCGGTACCTATTTATCTACCTGCACTTTGATGTGCTTTCGAACTGCTAGGTTGGCAGGAGCTGGGACCGAGCAACGGGAGCTCACCCTGTTGCAGGGATTCGAACCGCTGACCTTCTGATCGGCAAGCCCTAGGCTCTGGTTTAGATCACAGCGCCACCCGCGTCTATCCCAAGGGATTACCACTGCCTTATCCTGCCCTCTCTTACCTTGCCAAAGTTAGCACCCTCTTACTCTATGGAAAACCGCTCTGAAAGCCCTGTGGAAGGATTACAAACCCTCTTCCCCGACGCTTCAACAACATAGCCTGATTCACCTCCACCAACCTGATTCCATACAGACCATTGTTGTGTTCCTTTGCCACTTGTACCTTAGCAGGATGTGTTCTAACAGACAGTATAAACCCTTTAATGAAAAGTTAGGTTGCACTATGTCTAGAGCTATTTAAACAGAGCAGCAAGTGTGACATCTTCCTTACTTTTTATTGTGGCACTAGCTGATCCTGCTTCAGTGCTTGATAGCTTTATGAACATAATGAAGGTGAGTGGGAGCCTTGCTTTAAGGCATATAGCTTTGATATGGAAAAGAAGCAGAGCACTAATGTCTCTTGCAAAAGTAAGCTATAGAAAATAAAGAGTGTCCAGGCTCCTTTTTATTTAAAAGAAAAGAAAAATATATTCACTGTCCTGCTTGAGGAAGGGAACACATAGTGTCCAAAATAAATGTTATTGAAATTGTGGAGTATTGCTATTGTGAGCCTTGCACTTTTTCTTAAGGGCTGCATGAATATGCAGAAAACCAGGTGTCATAGATTTTTATTTTTTTTAATAAATTTGTATAGGTATCAATAGGTGCCTTGTCCAATTCCTGATTCCTCTCCCTGATCCCCAATTCTGTGTTAAGCATTTCTGCACACAATTCTCCTTATTGCTTTTCTAATTTCTATATGTTGCTCATGAGAAAGCTCTAAGCAGTCTGATTTTAAACAAATCTGCATGGGTTGTTGCTTGTGATAGCAGGGGCAAAATTTCAGTTCTGCCTCTGTTAGGCATTGGGAAGTTAAAAATTTGCATACACTTTAATGAATGTATTACTGAAATAAGCAGTAGTACTCTTATTATGGGAGAGTTAGCAACCCTTATCAGGATACTTCTCAGCATCCAGCATATCTTTGTTTTACTCCAATTTCCCCCTCAGTTGTGTTATTCTTGCTATTTTCTTCTTTCTTCTCCATTGATGTGCCTTTCCACCCATTGTTTAAGCTGGGAGAATGCCAGCTGTGTCATTGTATGGTCAGGCTCAGAAGGATTAGATTGTCATAAGTAAATGTTGGTGAATAATGATTTCACTCTTTGCAGCACACAAACTGATGATGAATATTATATCCATTGACAATAATACAAAACTGGCAAATAGCCGCAGCAATGAATGCTCCATAAAGCATATGTTCATGGGACTGATAAGAGAATAAACAATTTAAAAACTGACATGCTTGATTCCAAGATATTTACCATTCACATTGGAGGCTTGTTAAAGCAGCGTTTATTTCAGAGATGGGGAGTGCTGCTTCAGCAATTCAGAAGTGTGAGTTGATGAGCCCACAAAAGCCCTCACTTGTCTACCAAGATGGGAAGAGGGAACGTTCTGGATGGTGTGCTACAGCACTGAACCGAGAACATGAGAAAACAGGCCCTGAGCCACTTACAATCATGGGCAACAATCATACAACATCTAGTTGCAAGCAGCCCTGAGAAATGTTTGTTATAAAGTGGCCTATAAATTAAGTAAGAAGGTAGGTAAATAGTAGTGGCACCTGGTGTTTGACATGTAACCTCATTGAAAGACGAATCCAACCATTTCAGCAGGATATTCAACTACACATTGAGGAGGCTACACATCCATGTCAGTTATATGTGGCTCTTGCTTGCTGAATTGGCATGACAATCCAGGTAAGCCTTGGAACAGATGGTGTTGACTGCATTGGATTCCAGTAATGCAGCTTTATGTACTTATCATTGAATTTATTGCGCAGCCACCTTCATTTCCCACAATCCTGAAAACCTGAAGAAATTAATCTTTAAAATACATGACTGCCAGCAGGAAAAATTAAAAGCAGCATCCTTGCTCTCTATATAATCAAGCAGGATTGTAGCCTTTAAAAAGAATGTTTAGTATAAATAGCAGAATTAGCTGTCACAATTATTTTCAAAACATTTGGTTCTGTCAAGTTTCCTTTAATTCAGTATGACACTTGGCTGTTTGAGTCCCAGCCCAGATTAGATCTCTGTCTCAATATAAATCAAAATTAAAAGAGATACATTGGTGTTGTTTTTTTCAAATTTGGTCTTTTTCTTGGTTTTTGATGCAGTTTACACAATGAATAATGAACTCCAGATAAATACACATATCATATTCATACTGTC